TTTTGTTGCATTTTTTGCAATTATTTTAATGTATTCATTTAAAAAAATAGATTTTCGAAGGGATTAAGAAATTTGGGATTAAGAAAACCAGTCATAATTGGCAGTAGAAAATGAAAACAAAGCAAATTTGCATAGAAAATTGCAAAAATTTTGAAAAAATCTAAATATTTTTGAAAAAAATTCTAGCTTTGAAAGAAGGCCATTTTGGGTCAAATAATGTTTCTTCTAAATAAATAAGTTTGATTAATGGAATATGGATAGACATGGACATCTACTGGTAGCAGAAGGATAGACAACTTGCTACAATGAGCAATAGTATTTCTAAATTAGGAACAAACATATAGATGGATGAAACCTCTAATGGTAAGAAATAGAAAATTAATTACTGGGAGAACTAATGTTAAAATTATCTAATACGCTGGTTAAGGAAAGTGTGTTTATACATCTGGGCATAATGCTTAAATTATCCAAAAGTACAAAGTTTGATTTAAAAGTCCTAAAATAGTTATAGTCCATAATCTGCTATATCCCAAATTAAGGTTAATACATTTAACGATACAGTTTAGATATTAGCATCCAGATATTCTGGTACAGCACTCAAAGGGTTATACGAACAGTAGCTTGAGGAAAGCCAATATAACAATGAGTGTAGGTTGTCCCCTTGTGGCACATTAGAGACTAACAAATTTATTTGGGCATAAGCTTTTGTGGGCTAAAACCACTTCATCAGATGCATCACTTTTGTTTTTAGTTACTAAGGGGATTGGCTGCAGTGTGAGTTTTGGATAAGATCTAAAGTATATATTGACCTGGGGACAGTGGCTTTGGGATTGGAAGAACTTTATATGTGATTTGTGATTTCAGTAATCATTTATCACAAAAGACCAGTTTGGGTGGAAAAGCCAGGAGCAGGGCCGTCTCTAGGCATGTGCTTGGGGTGGCACATTTTAAGGGGCGGCATTCCGACCACCCTTTATTTTGTGCTTCAGCAACTGCGCTCTTGGGGCGGCAAAAAAGCTAGAGCCGGCCCTGGCCAGGAGGAGCTGGAATGCCGAGAGGGGACTGTACTTTGGCTTCCTGCTAACCAGTGTGGCGATATAAGAGCTCATTTTGTTACTGTTTTGGTGAATTCAGTTATAGAATAAACCATCAGGTTTTGGGGTGTATCTGCCCTGTCCTGAATTGGGTATTCTCGGTGGTGATTCATACCAGGCAACAGACACACCAGCAACAATGCTACTGTCAGCAAATTTAATAATATGAACATACACCATCCAAATATGCATTTATACACATTTTAGAAAGACCACTTTGGAAGGAAAGTCAGATACAATCAATTGCTTACAGCAAAATCAGGGAAATTTCTAAAAGAAAAATGAGTGACATGAACAAATATGGTAATTTTTATACACAGTTTGCACCTCATGAAAACAACTCTGATGTGACAGATGCTGGACATTTTAGTTTCAACTCTGCGCATCTCAAAGGGGTTTTCCATATGATCCGTTCATTTTTATTTCATATTCCTGGTATTGCCAGAGTAATTCCCACTCTTACAGTTAGATTGTTTACTTGACGGCATAATGGGGGTGGGAGAGATGATCCAGCACAGGGGTGGGCAAACTTTTTGGCCCGAGGGCTACATCAGGGTTCCAAAATTGTATGGAGGGCTGGGTATGGAAGGCTGTGCCTCCCCAAACAGACTGGCTCTGCCCCCTATCCGACCCCCTCCCATTTCCTGCCCCCTAACTGCCCCTCTCAGAATCCCCGACCCATCCAACCCTCCCTGCTCCTTCTCCCCTGACCACCCCCTTCCTAGACCTCCCTGCCCCTAACCACCCCCCCGGGATCCCACCCCCTATCTAAGCCCCCCTGCTTCTTGTCCCCTGACTGCCTTCTCCCAAGACCCCCTCACACTAACTACCCCCCAGGACCCCACCCCCTACCCAACCCCCCTGCTCCCTGTCCCCTGACTGCTCCCTGGGATTCCCTGCCCCTTATCCAACCCCCTGGCTCTGGCCCTTTACCGCGCCGCTCAGAGCAGCGTGTCTGGCAGCCGCATAGATCCAGACACACTGCCCCGCCCCCCCAGAGTGCTGCCTGTGCGGGACGGCATGGCTCCAGGCAAGGGGGAAAGCGGGAGAGGGGCTGGGGGTAGCCTCCCCCCACCAGGAGCTCAGGGGCCGGGCAAGACGGTCCCATGGGCTGGATGTGACCTGCAAACCGTAGTTTGCCCACCCTGATCTAGCAGGAAATGTCATGCATGATGGAATCAAGCATCATTCATATATTTGTCATCAATCCTACATTTCTCATCTGGTTTTGCTTTTACATCCCATATTGGGCAGTGAACACAAGGGAACTGATTGGGCTTTTAGGGCCCTGTTCATTTTAAATTCATGTGGAAACCAACCTTTTGTTTCTGTCTCAAACTACACCTCTCACAGCAAACCAGTGCTTTCCAGAAAGTTTTAACACACAAATTTCCCTCTCAGGTCCATTTACTGGGGGACTTCAATAAGGTGAACAGAAGAATACAAGCAGTTTGCCTACATGGGGAAAATTCATTATTCTAGAAACTATATTAACCCATTAAAACTAGCACAATGGTAAACATGACTTAGGTGCTTTTGAAAATCCACCTGAAGTGACTTAGCAGCAGAAGTTCCACTGAAAATCGGTGAGTCTTGCGTCACATCGGTTCTTTTGAAAATTCCAGCCTTCACACCTCGTACACACACTAACAGCTGTATGTAAATATAGATTAGCTGGTTGTGGCTAAATAACAATCAGCTAAAATGATTTTAAACACCCTCATGTCCCCTCCCTCCAGCTTCTTCAGCTAGCCCCCCTCTCTTTCTCCCCTCCCCCCAGTTCAGGGGTCTCTCCCTGGTAGGGTTACCATACGTCCGTTTTTTCCCGGACATGTCTGGCTTTTCGGCAATCAACCCCCCGTCCGGGGGGAATTGCCAAAAAGCCGAACATGTCCGGGAAAAATACCTTCCGGGCACTTCCCCTCCCGCGGCTGCTCTGCTCCTCCCCTCTCAGACTTCGGCTCTGTTTAAGAGCCAAGCTGCCCGAGCCAGCGCTACCGGCTTCGGGCAGCCCCCGTGCCTCCGGACCCCAGTCGCCGGGTGGGCACTTCTCCTCCCCGGCTCCAGCTGCTCTGCTCCGGCAGCGCAGGGTCCGGAGGCAAGGGGGGCTGCCCGAAGCCCGAGTGCTACCGGCTTCATGGTTTGCTGGGCAGCCTCCAGACCCTGCGCCCCCAGCTGGGCGCTTCCCCTCCCGGGCTCCAGCTGCGCAGGGGACGCGCCGGCCGGGGGCGCAGGGTCTGGGGGCTGCCTGTCAAACCGTGAAGCCGGTAGCGCTTGGGCAGCCCTTTTCGCGTGGCTGGGAGGGAGGAGGGGTAGTTGGGGCAGGGACTTTGGGGAAGGGGCGGGGAAAGGGTGGAGTTGGGGCGGGGCCAGGGGTGGGAAAGGGGTGGGGCTAGGGCCTGTGGAGTGTCCTCTTTTTTTATTTTTGAAATATGGTAACTCTACTCCCTGGCCCTTGGCTGGGTCCCTCCCACAGGGGCTCCCTCCTTCCTTGGTGGGACTCCCCCCCACTCCAGACAGAGTTGGCCTCCTAGGAGCCTAGAGACCCAGCCTAGAGCCTCACACAGACCTCCACAGCCATAGAGCTATGGGTAGAGCATCACCCCCCTGCAGCCCTGCCTGTGCGGGGGGGGGGGGGGGCGGGAGGGAGAAGAGAAGAGAGAGAGAGAGACTGGCTGAGTCCTCCAGGTCATAGAGAGTCCGGGGTGGGGGGAGTGGGAAGAGGGGGACAGAGGAGCCTGTTTCATGGGGACAGACAGGGCAGCTCAGGGACACAGTGTGAGTCGGCCGCCTGGGCGCGGGAACACCCATAAGCCTCTGTGACGCACCCGGAAGAATGGGCGGATTCTCTCCCCAGCGAAAGAGGCCGGCGGGAAAATGACGATCAGGTCCCCGGTACCAGCATCAAAAAACACCACCTGCCCCAGTTCATAGTCCAGATAAACCCGGATCCTGGGGGGTGCCCGGCTCGGGGGGAAGGGGATAAGCTGCCGAGGGGACGTGAGAGCCCAGAAGTGATCCTCACTGCACTCCACAGCCCAGATCCCCTGCTCAGGGGTAAAGCTAATCTCTCCCTTCCTGCTCACAGACTCTCTGGCCACCCCCACAGCACAGACTCCCCCCCACTGCACCTCCACCTCCCAGTAATGTCGGCCCGAGGTGAATCCCTCACAGCCCAGCACACAGTGCGCAGTGTCAAATCTCTCCGGGTTGTCGGGTAGTTCCTGCAATGTGCCCCCTCTCACACTTTTCTGATCCGCAGACACAATGAGTTTGGGATGGGCCGTGTCTGGATCCAGAGTCACGTTCGCTGCAGAGAGAGAATCAGAGCGTGAGGGGCAGAGCTCAGCCCTGGGGCAGGGTCTGATCGTGTCAGTGACAGAACCTGCCCCAGCTGGGGAGTGAACCAGGCAACCTCCTGCCTCCAGGATTTACCCAGCTCTGCCTGGGGAGCAGCGCTGAGATCTCAGCCATGGGCAGGGGAGATTCACACCCCTGACAGAGCTAGTTCAGTGACAGAGTGAAGGGATCAGCTCCGCTGAACCAGGCCCCCAGACCCAGAGTCTGATTCCCAGTTATTCCATCCCTGTGCTTGGGGGAAAGACAAGGAGAGTTAGAGCAGGGGTGGACAACCTATGGTCCGTGGGCCAGATCCGGCCCCTCAGGGCTTTGGATCCAGCCTATGGATTTGCCACCCCCGTGGTGCTGCGCATCCCGTTCCACTCTGGGAGGCGGCCAGCACCAAGTCCCTGCAGCCCCTGGGGGAGCAGGGGGCTCCGTGCGTTGCCCTCACTTCCAGGCACCACCCCCCACAACTCCCATTGGCCAGGCATGGGAAACCGCGGCCAATGGGAGCTTTGGGGGAGGTACCCACAGGCACGCGGAGCCCTCTGCACCCCCCCCCCAAGGGCGGCAGGGATGTGGTGCTGGCGCTTTCTGGAGTGGGGCAGGGCGAAGGCCAGGGCAGGCAGGTAGGGAGCGAGCCTGCTCTGGCCTCGCTGCCACCCCGGTGCCGCTCTAGGTGAGCGGCGACAGGCCGGAGCCCACACCCTGAACCCCTGCTGCACCTAATTAAAATCATTTTTAGAACTCTGAAATGTCATGATTGTGTTTCAGCCACAGCTCTATCATGAGATCATGAGTGAGGCTTAATTTTACTCAGAAATCGCATCTCTCACAACATAGGCGTGCGCAGCACATTTCATTAGGGTGTGCATCCAGGGAATTTATTTTTATTTGTATTTTTTTAAACGGCGAACAGCATAAATGTTGGGGTGTGGGAGGGAGTGCGGGGTGTGGGAGGGGGTGCAGTGTACAGGAAGGGGCTCAGGGCAAGGGATTGGGGCAGAGGAGGGGTACAGGGTGTATGAGGGGGCTCAGGGCAGGCAGTTGGTGTGCAGGAGCGGTTCGGGCTCCGGCGCCACTAACCTACAGTGGAGCGCTCCCTGCCTCCCTTCCCTGGCCCCGCGCCACTCACCACATCCCTGCACGGCCCCTGGGAGGGCCACAGGTCTCCGTGTACGCTGCCCTTGCCACGCCTCCAGGTACCTCCCCCGAAGCTCCCAGTGGCCGCGGTTCCCTGTTCCCGGCCAATGGGAGCTGCAGGGGGCGGTGCCTGTAGCAACGCACGGAGTCCTCTTCCCCCTGCGCCCCACCTCCCTGGGCCCCAGGGACGTGGTGCCGGGCGGGATGCTACTGAGAGCAGCGCGGGGCCTGCGGCACCACGGGGGCAAATCCCATGGGCTGGATCCAAAGCCCTGAGGGGCCGGATCCGGCCCGTGGGCATTAGGGTGTGCCTGGGCACATCCCATGCGCACAGGCACACCCAGCACACCCCGTGCACACATCTATGTCTCACAATCAATTCATGAGAGTTGGCATGTCTGCTAAAATGTGATGTTAAAAATGTCAAAAGGGTTCGGTAGACATTTTTTTCTTTTGATTTATAAAGTAGAGAGATAAAACAGAAATGTCCATTTGTGTATGTTGAATTTTCCCATTCTTCATTGTACCACTTGTGCATTTGCTGATAATATTGCCAGGGGATGTGATGTATGTGCATAAAGAGTTCTGAAATAGAGGTGAGATGTTCCTCTTTGATTTTCCAAAAGGCTCATTTTTAAACTTTTAGATCTCTACATAGATACACTACTCACCCCCTCTTCCGCTCCCCAGCCCATCTGGTTAGCCCAATTATTATTTAAAAATTCTAAATTATAACAGAGAAAAGAATCTACTTTTCTGCTTTTAGGAAAGATCTGTGTAGCCACCAGTAACATGTTGCTCAGCTCCTGTCAATGCAAAATTGAAACAAAACCTGAACTACGGTGCTGCCAATGAGCCCCCATAATTCATATGAAAGTTTTCACTCCCCCTTTGATCCCAGAAATTTACCTTTGTCCAACCGCTGTCTAGATGACAGTGAGTCTAGAGGAAGAAACGGGTGAAAGTCAAAATGTCACATTGTCATTTTTATGACTATATTCACATTGTTAATGTTCTAACACAAATGCAAAATAAAAAGAAAACAAACTTAATAAAGTTACAGTTAAGGAGGTTAAGTGCAATTAAGACCAACACAAACCATTACACACCTCACTAAAAAATAACCACAAACATTAAAAACTAAGGACATGACCTAAGGTTACATGACAGACCCAGAGACTTTTACCAGCAATTAAACACCTGTGGCTGGCCCATGACAACTGACTTGGGCTCGGGCACTGGGGCTGTTTAATTGCCGTGTAGATGCTCGGGCTTGGGCAGAAGCCTGGGCTCTGGGACCCTGTGATGGGAGGGGGTCGCAGAGCCCAGGTTCCAGCCTGAGCCCGAATCTGGTGAGCCGGAGTCAGGGGACATGGGCCAGCCACAGGTGTTTAATTGCTGTGTAGACAAACCCTCTGAAACCAACACATAATTCACAGACAGACCAATACACAGACACTTTTTCACTCGTTAGCATTCAATAAACTTTAAATCTGCCGCTGTACCATTAGTACTTAGTAAAACTGGCTCATCCTTCCTGACAGATAGTTAATACAGCAGGAAGCTCAAGCTAAGTTTAACGTTCATAGCCATTAAGAAAGGAAAACCCACAGGGAGTCCGAATTTAGGACCCTAACCCAGTGTGTATGTGCTGTATTGAGAACTGTAAGCAGGCAGGACTCACCCCCGCGGCGCCTCCTGCTGGTTGACCTTGGGAATTAGCTCATCCAGCATCCGGAGCACCCTCTGCAGGCCGGTGATCCACCTTACCGTTGCTGGCCCCCCCTCCCCCAGGACCCTGGTGCCCCTTTAACTGGGTGTTGCCCCCCAGCAGTACCCCCACAATTCTGGGTCTCTTCCTCCCAGGTGAAC